TTATAATCTAATGACTTATCTGTATTTTCTTACCTGTAGTATGTTCCAAACCAGTTGAGTGGAATGTACATTTGGATGATGTAGGTACCGAAGAGAACATAATCTCCAACCTGAGGTTAGAGTTGTTTTTATGGTCAAACTGAATTGGACAATTCCAACTAGCATTGTATTTCTTAATGTTCTGAGTATCTATCAAACATAAAGTTCATCCAATTTCTGAAATAAGCAAATCAGCTCTCTGCCCCGCCTTTTAAAACAACTTTCTTTTAATCGGCTACTCCTCCCAAATGAGTGGATGGGGCTGTCTGAGATAACCATATTAGCGATATACCGGTACTAAGGATTTACTTGCACAGATTATAATCCTAGTATTTGAAAGTTTGGGCATGTTCATTATCAGTGTCTACCAACCTAATGGTTTATGGAAATGTGGACAAGCATAGTGTGTGCCATTATTACAAAGTCAATACCTGAAACTTGCCCTCTGTGACAAAGTATGCACAGAGCAAGGAGCCTGCTAGCAGTCCTAATCCAATGACGACATTCTGGGTTTGATTGAGCAAGGCCAGAGATGCCTGCGCCCTCCACTCTGAAGCCTACAAACAATCAGAAACATAAGTCAAGACTTCAAAATATAGACTTCCAATATACAGCTACTAGTATCTTTGCAAAAATGTCTTATTCTCTGATGCTAACAAAAGCCAAGAACCATTAAGTACACAACTCCAGAACTGAGACCACTAAATAAAACACTTTTGTCCAGATCAGACAACAAGTGTAAGTTTTGTTTTTGGTGAAATTATCCTGCTGCTTTTCTGATTTTTATCAGTATGTTCAAGGACCCCTGATGCCAGCACGTTACATGCAAAGGATTAAACTGCATATAAATTGTGGTAAGAGACAGGTATGGATATCAGGCTTTTGCACATGCATACAATCTCACAATGACTGGGATCCATAAAGACAGGACCATGTGTATGCACAGCTTTATGAATATGACAAAAGGAAAGTTCATGTTTATCTGCTTTTGTGTAGACATGCACACACATACAGGCTGTTGTCTATGTACATTGAGCTTTATGGGCCCAGAATTTCCCAGTGAGCTAACAGGTTTACTCTACTGGCGAAACAGCAGCAGAATATTATGGATTGTCCAAATATTGTCCCAGGAAAATCAAAGCAGCAAAATCACACAAAAAACACTGAATTCCAACATCCAGTTATTTCATTTTGTCTTTGTTTTGAAATCAAACCTGACATAAATACTCATATTTTCTGGGTTGGCCACCTGGTGTGAGGCAACCTACTACATTTTCTTCCACTCAACATCTTAATACTAAAAGCTATCTGAAAGGTAGCAATAACTAGAAAGACTGTAGCAGAGCAGGTTTGCTCTGACTCCTGTTAAAGTAAACAAAGACATTTCCTAGTGATACAGCTGAAGAAAGAACAGCAGGGAAGGCGTGGCAAGCCTTGTAATGCTTTATCTGCCTGACCTGACTTACCTGATAATTTAAGATTGCACCCTCAAACCGGCCGACCTCATAGTTCTCTGCATTGTAGTATTTTACCTTTTCAACAGGAATAAAAAGCACAAACAGTGACGAACTGTAATTTAGGTGCATTTTAGGATGAAAGAATAAAAAAAACAACAACAACAAAACTGTGTGAACCACAAACTTATTTAATGTACCGTCTCAAAGTTTAACAAGGAGTCCACAGCCTTGGCCTTGGCAGCGTTATCCATCCGATTCATTTCTCGTCTGTACTTGGTTCTCCATTCAGTGATGATGATCGTCATAGCTGGCAAACACATTAATGTGAAATTACTACACAGTCAAAGAGGATCTGAAAAATCT